CCTTTGCAAGTGCAATCCTGTGCCATACCGTACCCTCCGTACCTGATCCAAACACATGTTCGCCGGGCTCCGCTGGGCTGACCGACCCCGACCAGACGCGCGCGCGCGCCGCCGCCGCCGCCGCCAGCTGTTTCAAGACCGTTATGATGCGGTGGTGCCCGCCCCCGCACCGCCCCAGGGCACCGCAGGACACCGCACGACACCGCAGGAGACCGCAGGGCACAGGAACACTGGGTTGGGTAGCCGAAGGGTAGCCGGAAGGGCACAGCCTTTGGGCTCGTCGGGCCGAAGCCGACGCGACGTCAGGTCATTCTAATGCTTTGCTCCGCAGACCGGCACCGGCATCAGTGTCGTGAGTCACTTCGTCATTTCAAGGAAGGGCCGTAAGCTGTAGGGGGAGAGGGGGAGGGAAGGGCAGGGTCAGCTGGACGCCTCCTGCTCCTGCGTCCTTCGGCTGCTCCGCACAGTGCTCCGCACGGGGCCGGCGGCGGCGGCTCACGGGCGACTCATTCGCATAGCGGTGATAAGGCAGCAAGACGCACGTATCTCGTTACCGGGAAGAGTAGATAATGAAAACAAAACGGTAATTGAAAACTCACAGTGAGTGCAGTAATGTACGTTCGAGTTGATACTTCATGGAGCAGCATCTTCTTTTGCCCGTCGCAAACACTGGATTTTTCCAAAGAAATTTCCGAGGGAGGAACCCATTCCTGATTCTGGATTCTTTTGGTTTGTGAAATATTGGCAATGATGAAGGGTCCGTCCCCAGCTGATAAGCGGGCTGGCGGCACGTGCGAGCGAAGCGTGGTCCGCGGCCGCAGCGGCCCGGAGAGAGAGTGAGAGAGAAGGAGAGAAGAAGAGAGACGGCATGCGCGACCCCCGCAGCTCGGGCCGCCGGCCCACCATGCTGCCCTCCTCCTCCAAGACCACGTTACACATTGCTTGACACTGCAGCAGGGGCCCCTCGGCTCGGCTCCCGCCAAGAAACGCGCTGATAGTGCAGGATGCTGGCCATGCCGTCTGGCCGAAGCGTAAACTGTGCAGGATCAGCTTCAGGAATGAGGGGCGGGTATTCAGAAGGGTGTAGGGGGGGAGGGCCGTCCCCCCCCCCTCTCAGATGTAGCTGCTGCATTTGAGAGGGGGGGGGGGACATCCTCGTGATCATAATTATTCCGCGAGGTTCAGGGAGAGGGGGGGGGGGAGGCGTACGGCAAAGCTATCAGGTGAGTTGTGCACTACTGAGTGTGAACACTGGGTGTGAAATGTTCAGAGTTGCGCGTCGCGGGCATCGCGCCTCGGCGGTGCTCCTGCCTGGCCCACTCCCGCCACACTCCGCGAGGTCCGCGATATAGTAGTCGGGGCGCGGGCTACGCGGGCTTTGGGGACGTCGCGGGCCGGCCACGCATGTGTGCTCAGGCGTGCTGCAGTGTCGGCCCGGCAGAGCTCCGAGCAGCGGGGCCTTGGGGGACTGGAGTGTGACGTCAGCATCAATAACCTGTTGGGCCTAAGTGAGGATATATCGGTCGCGGCTACGGCGACCTGCAGCCGGGCGGTGTTGG